CTGGGCACTCCTAGCTAGCTGAGACTTGGCTTCTAGCTGCGACTGATAGCACTTGAGAGGAAGAGGAAGGTGAAGGGTTCCCGGGGAGCACTCCCGGTGGGAACACTCCGATGGCTAAGTTAGAACTCCGAGGAAACTCAAAGAAGACACAGAGAGTTAAGAGTGCTGAAAGTGCTATTTTCAACACCTTTGCTTTGTGAGGGTCGGGGTCTTTTTATACTGGAGCTCGGTCACATCAGGCGTAATCGCCACTGCCCTAGCCGTTACTGCCAGGGCAGGGGTGGCAGGTGTAGGTTGCTGCTACTGGAAGGTACGGACTCGACAGGCGTGCCAATCTTTTTCAAAGACGACAGGTAGAATGCCGCCTGGCAATGGATCCGAGCACTGCCACCGGATCCGGTAGGTACGGATGTCAGGTAGGCACGGATGTCAGGCAGATCTCCCTACAGTCTGTCGAGCTACTATACACCGAACCACCTGGGGCTGGTTTGCCTTGCACCGAGGTGCCCGCATTAGAGGCGAGCCTTAAGCAAGTTCGAACATGAGTCTCGATGGTGTTGCCCCGAGCTGTTTCTCCCTCGGGACACTTAGCCAAAAGTTGGGGTGCTTCCTTCTAAGGAAGGGAGAGCTCGGGCCTCAGGAGGAGCTCGGGTCTCTTGGCATGGGGGAGCTCGGGGTGCTCCACCCTCAGGTTCGGGGTGAGCTGGGCCTTGCTTCTCGATGAGCTGTCACACCCGTCGAGTCGTTTGGCCGGGCCTCGGCGAGCTCGCTGCGCTAAGTAGTGGCCAGACTGTCACGCTGAATTGTCACTTATGCCAAGTCATGTCCACGTGTCCTTGTGCTACGAGGTCGGGCCAAAACACCCTACATCAATTGCCCCCACTCCCCGTGCTAGGGGTGTTGACCTAGCGCGGGGAGTCCGCAGTCTGCCGGGTGGATTTGGCTCAGAGTCCAAACTTTCTTGCTTGCCAGCTCATAGGTTGGACCGGTTTTCTGCTCGGTTCTACCAGGCGCAGCTCGGGTCACGTACGGCCTACGCACGGATGTCACGCGAGTTATAGACTCCGCGGACGTCAAAAAACACGCTAAACTGATTTCGCCTCGAAGGTCGCATAGCCGGTTTTCATGAGGACTGTCAGATCGTTTCGATCTCAACCGTTGATGCCTGCGTATAGTGGCTATAAATAGCGGGGGTTCTGGCCATTTTCCTTCGCCACAAGTCTTCAGTTGTAGTTTTGATCTCGCGTCAAAAGCCTCCAGCTCGGGTCAGTTCGTCCCAGTCTGGTCCATCTCTTTTCGGTGAGTCACCCTAGCTCTTCTTCGGTTTCGTTATGTCTTGCTTTGATAGCCAGTTAGATGAGCCCGAGGTGCCTGAGGTGGGTACCTCGGCTCAAGGTACCATTTTCAAGTCTGAAAATGATGGCTCATTTCCACTAAAAAAATGGGTGGTGACTTAAGAGAAATGTTGAAAAGTCATTATGAATTTTAGACAATTTCCCAAAATAGTAAGAAGGTCAAATGTCTCAAAGAATTGCCATTTGGGCAATAACAGTGGCTTATTATAGCTGGAAAGTAAAAGAAATAAAAATAGTAAAAAAAAAAACCTCTATGGGCTATGGCTATCCCGTTATCTCGGTGTTAGGTTTTTTTCTTTCTTTATTTATTTTTATTTTTTTTGGGACGGGGGGTCAACAACTTTATTTATTTATTTATTTTTTTTTTTGCTTTTGAAAACAAAAACAACTTTCTCATAACCAAAAATAAAATATAATTTCGCTGATGAGACAGTTTTGGTTTTCAAAAACCAACCATGTTGTCAAACACCCCTTGATGAATTATGATTCTTCTATCCTCTCCTCTTCCCAGGTCTATTAACAAACTCTCAAGTGCATTTGCTATGAAGTTACCATATGGTGCCAAAACATTCAAGCAATAGCCCCACGTAAAAATTGATTTTTGAAATCCAAATCAACTAGTTTACAATTGGATAGAATACTGATCAACCCCCATCCAATCTTCAAATCCAATAATCCAATTTGTTATAAAAAAAGATCCAATAATCTGGTTCGATTTAAATTTCATTTGTCTTTATAAAATTTATATTTTATCTACTTGTAAAATTGGTTTGAATGTTGTATTTTATTAAAGAAAGTTTCATAATAACAACCTTTTTTTCTGTTTATTTTATTAATAATATAGTATTTATAATATTTTTATAGAAAAAATCCAGATTAGTACCTATACTTTGGGTCTAGTGTCACTTTGGTCCCCAAACTTTAAAATGCAATAATTCAGTATCCGAACTTTCAAAACGTGTCAATCAAGTACCTACCGTTAACCAACTGTTAACTAACTGCTAAATGGCATTTAAAAAGACACAAATGCCCTTCGAGTGTCATCTAATTTTCTTTATCAACCATTCAAACATTGACAAAAAATTAACAATCCCAAATCCCTGCTTTTATTCAAAAATGGAGTCACGTCTCAATAGGCATTTTGGATCCTAACTTTCTTGAACAAAAGAGGCAAGGATTTAGGATTTAATTTTTTGTCAACTTTGGGTGGTTGATAAAGAAAATTAAATGACACTCGAAGAGTATTTATGTTTTTTTCAAATTCTATTTAACAACTAGTTAACGATAGATACAGGGTTGATATATTTTAAAAATAAATATACTAAATTGTTACATTTTAAAATTCAAAGACCAAAATAGGCCCTCAATACAGAGTATTAATCGAGAATTTTTTCTATTTTTATTTAATTTATAGAATCGACCATGATGAATAACTTGTAACAAATCCACCGATATCATAAAAATGACAACAATGAATCAGATGGTATTTATCAAAATCCATGGGAGGTTTTGATTGGGCAAAACCCTTCCGGTCACTTCAGCCTACTTTCTTGTTTCTGTAATCTAGCGCTTGACCTCTAATTCACTCGAAAGTTGAACCAACACTCATAATGTCAAATGGTCGAACACAAGCCATTCATTTAAGTCTGTCTACATCCAGTAGAATGGCCACAGCTGGCCCTCGCACAAGGTCAAGGCTGAGCTTTAAATCTAGCGACAATTCAGACCGCGCTTGGTCAAGCATAGACAGGTTGGTCAGGACTCAGGAGTGTATGTGGGCAGTGGGCCTGCCATGATCATGTAGAGGAAAATATCCCCATAGCTTAACTCGCTCAGTTCGTAAGAGCTATGCACGAGCCTTCTCGCTTCTTACTCCATAGACAAACACGTGTATAATGGGATCAGAGACGGAATGAAAGTGTTTTAGCCAGTGATGGCAGAGAACTTTGATAGCTTACTCGCATGATGAAAAATGTATTATTAGATTAGAAAATTTACAAAAAGCTATAATTTTAATTCTGTACCAACGAATGACGACTGAAGTAGGATGCCAATCGAATTAGACTTGAAACCGAATCATACCGAACCGAATTAAATCGGCTCGGTTCGATTTTATTTCAGTTAATTTGATTAGTTAAAATATAACTGTATTTTATATTTATATTAATAAGTATTAGTAAGATACATAAAATTTATAATTAAAATATATATTATATATTATTATTAATATAAATAATAATGTTAACATATATTAATGTTAAGGCTAATATAAATATTTATAATTAAAACATAAATGTATAAATTTATTTTAATTAATTCGGTTCAGTTGATTTTTTTCTCAAACTACACAAAAACTGAAATTTCTAAAATCTTAAAACCAAACTATACCCAAAACCAAAATAACCAAACCGAATTGATTTATTTGATTTGATTTTCAGTTTAATAACCAAATTTAAACAACTCTAGACTGGAGTTCCCTTCAATACCAAAACCAAAATACAACTCATGGTGGCTCAGGCCTCTGGCTCGGAGAGGAGATTGAAGTTACCTATACCAGCCGGCTGCCACCAGAGTTGGGGGATTATGATTTGTGAGAATGGAGAATGGCTACCCCATGCCCTAGGCTCCGCTACTAATGTACATAGTACATACATAATACATGCACATAAAACCAAAAAAGATAAAAATTACAATAGGTTGAACTGGGCCGACCGAACTCGGTCTGGTTGAGTTGAACCCCAGAATCCAAAACTCCAAGCAAACTCGAAAAAAATCGGAAAATAGAGAAGTTTCGGATCCCCAGCTTAAACCGTTACACGCAAGTTATTTTCATTGGAAATTTTCGGCTTCAAAGACCTGACCCATATAATTGGGGCTACACGCTACACGCCTACACAGAGTAGGCAGTTAAACATACATGGTTTGAACAGATGGGACTTATTAAACGAGTCAATCGAAGCCCAGCCAAACTGTAAACACGAAATTCAAGCCAATAGAGAAGCCTCCAGTTGGGTTGAAGACGAGCAAATGCCGACCAATAGACTCCACGCCACGCCACCAACAACATGAAAACCACAGAGAACCCAACTGGGAGAAATGGACATAAACAATCTGATACTTACATCTCCGTGGTACATTCCCATTGCCATTGGTCCCCCTAGGGACAGAAACAAGTGATCGTATATACATAACCTCGTCGAACACTCACTAGTCTCTACCCACACCAAGGTTTCCAATCCCTATATCAGACAACCACAATCACCAAATCAACGACGCTAACTTTGCGTACACAATGGAACAAAATCTCACTTTCAAAATCCTTCCGACTTTACCAACTACATATGGCAGCCTATAGAAACATATAGGAAGCCAGGAACCACGAGATCAACGTTGGGACCCACCCAATCCCTCAAAATCCCAGAGATGTAAATTTCAATCGCCAAGAGACAAATACTCTTGAGTCAAATATCCTCGAGACACGTGGCAACCAAGGCGTGGTCCCAAAACCAAATGTGCCAGGTCAAGTCACCACCTCTTTATGGCTAAGCAGCCCGAGGTGTCACAGACCTCGAGCGACTCTTTTAAATGCGAAAGCAGAACATCAAAATATCAACGTGGATAACAATGGATCAGCACAGCAAAAAGTAAAGAAAACGGCAAAAGACCGATTTGTCATTCAAAGTTCCCAAAAATTACAGCTACAGATTAAGCGCTGAATACTAGCCGTCCATTTAGCATCATCAAAATAAATCGTACGATCAATATCAAATTAGCAGGACGACTGAAAGCATCAGTAGTAAAGTAAGCAGATGTTCTTAAGCTTATAAGAAAGAGAAAATAGTAAGTAGTAAACATGGAACCGATGAAACGGCTCTTAAGCTTCCACGTTAGCACACTCCTTGGCAGGGGAGCAGATGAGCCAGGCATAGCCGTACGGATCCTTCACCTTCCCGACTCGTCCACCGCAGCAAGAGCCCTCGCCCTCTGTGATCTCACCCTCGAGCGTCGCGCCAGCGCTGACGGCCTTCTTAACAGCTCCATCCACGTCGTCCGTTTCAAGGCAAAACATGCACGCGCTTCCGCAGCCAACCCTGGTTAATTTGGTTACACCTTGATCAGCAGTTAAGCACATAGTGCCAAAACTAGAGAGGAAAAATGATACGGTACAAGGTTAAAAGCAGAATGTTGCCTTACAGTTACAGAGAGAATAAATTTTATGTATTAAGTATTTTTTTAAATTTTTAAAATGACAGAAAATAAAGGCGCTAGAATCTTAAACGTAGAACGTGATCAGAAATGTTGAAACTGATGACATGGAAGAAAACTAAGTTTTTACGGCAAAGATAGGTAGAACCGTAGAAATACAGCTACGAAACAGGCAAAGGGAGAGATTATACTGTGATAAGATAAAAAAAAAATCGATCGAGAAAACAAGAGAAAAACCGCAGAGACGTGTGCAAAAGGTGGAAAAATTAAAGAAATAAACCATATGAAAAAGTAATTTCCGAAAATATGCGAGATCAAGGAGAGAGAGAGTGCGAGAGAAAGGAAGAAGATGCTTACGGAGCAGAAGAGTCGTCGGTCTGGTCGCAGACTTGGAGGACGGAGGATCCAAGCTTCAGTTCGGCGCAAAGGATGAGAGGGAGCTCTTGTTCGGCTTTCCTCTTTGGATGCATGACTCGCTTGAGCTCTTCGACACCAAATGCTGTCTTGTAGAACTGAACGGCGTCGGCAGCCTTGGAAGCCTGGAGGACAAGCTGAGGCTTGAGGGAAGAGAAGCTCACGGTCTTGGTGCTTCCGTTCTCAGCCCCGCCGTTCGGGAGATCGAGAGTTGCAGCATTCTCCTGCGCCATTAGTGAGAGATGGAGAGCAAGCGTACGGGAAAACGAGGAGGAAGGGAAGAACACAACCCCTGAAAACACAGAACAAGAAACCCTAACCCTAAGAGAGAGAAAGACAGAGAGAAGGGAGGAAATCAGTTGGTTAATAGAGGCAGGGAAACAGGTGATGGGGTTTATTTATAGACGCTGGAGAGAGAAAACGTTTCTGCAAATACGGATATAATGATATTAAAATAATCGGCGATGAAAAAATGCCCTCTGTTTTTCTTGTAATTTATGGTGCTGCCATTCTCGTGCCAAACGGACATGCTTTTAACTTGAAACGACCAAAATAACCCTTACTAAGATTTCCGAGAGGGTTTTGATCGAGTAGTATGTATTGGGTACGTTGATATAGACCATGCCCCCTACTTACATTCTAATCTAAACGAATTTACTGTTTAGAAGGACAAAACTAAATTGTCCTCAGCTGGAGTCAACTCTCCGTCTCTCTTGTGTGAAATAAATAAGTTCTATTTTTAATATTAAATAAATATTATTTGATGGAAAAATTGCAATGGGCTTCGGCACAATTTGAATTTATTTTCAGGGCTGCTCCTCGTATGGGCGACAAAGCAAAAGTGGGGAAGCATGGACCAACAGAGAAGCTCTTCACATGGGCCTGAGTGGAGAGTGGAGAGTGGAGAGTGGAGACACCTCAAGTAATCAAGAACAATGCTGGAAAGGCTATTGTGGACAAGACCATGGAAGATAGAAGCAATCTTGGGCGATACCCAAAAGGATGCCAGTGAGTACTGAATCTATAAAGTTTTGGGTACTTATCAAGAGCCTGATGAAATACTCTAGCTGATGAAATGACAAAACAAACAAACTCTCCCTTCAAGCTGTAAAAGATGTATGTCTGTATGGACTTTAGTAGTGAAGTCCATAGGTTTTCTTCTCTTTGTTAGTAAAAGGAAACAATTTGTGGGACCAACCAGTGATGGGTCCCACTCTATTGAAAATGGGATATTGTTGTAACAAAGAACTTATATTTATAAGAGAGGCATGTTCGTCCTTTGGTTGAACAATTAAATATTGAACTTTTGGAGCTAAAAAATGAAGACTCAGTCATTTATCAATTAGGTCTGAGAGAAAGGTAATTTTAATTATCCGATGGTAGTTTTTATTATCAAGGATCTTTTCATGCCCCCTCTTGAGATGGGTTCCTTATTACATCAAATCAGATAGGATAAGAGCTTTTGTAGATGAGAAGCTTGAGACCAACGCAAAGGTGGTCATTCTTCTGTTTGTTTTGGACCTTAAACCAAACATCTTGGACCTGCCGTCCAAATGAATCTCTCGTCGGGAGTGAATGCAACAAAGCCTATACATGAAGTTTTTGTATCAATTTGACCACTCGTTTAATCTGATTAAAAATATTTGAATGGTTGCTTTTTATTTCTTTTGGTAATTTGGAAGGGGGAACCAACTTTCGTGTATTGATTTATTGGTAAATGTAAGATCATAGAAACTCAACCTTCCCTCAAATAAATGTTTTACAAACTTACCCAGCTGAAAAATCTTACCCTTCTCTCAGGTAGACAAACTACTTTACCATGCGGGAGGGAAAACCGCAAAAATTCATGAAACAAAATTGTCCATTAGACAAGCTTTAAAACAAAAAGGTCTTAGGGTAAATATGGTAACAAAGAAAACATACTAAGCTAAATTTCAACAGAAAATAACACATGTAAACACCTTATCGTGGAAACACTTACTTGATTAAATAGCTTAACAGTGAATAAATGGAGCCTAACTGTCGGATTAGTAACTTCACATGGTTTTCCTTTTGGTATCCATCAACTATTAGTTGAAACCAAGGTTCAAAAAATTATTACGTATCGGCCTGTATCGGGAGCATCCTGATATGATTCTATAGAGAATGTATCAGGGTTCTGACCGGTTCAGGGGGTAGAGGAGCCATAAACTGGTCCCTCTGAACCGATTTAAAAAAAATAAAAAAAAAAGTAAAAAAAAAGGTCTGACATTGCCCAATACACCCCTATCAATATTTAGAACCTTGGTTGAAACCCGCCTAAAAAAAGAAAACCTATAGTTGAAACCCATGGGTTTGAAAACACTAGTATATATATTGTCTTCTACTAAAACTTTCCAAGAGTAGAATTTATTTTTAAGTTCCTCTTTCAACTTTAACATGTCTCCATAAATTGAACGAGAGTTTTTTGGTTTTGCCTCAAACATGGAGTTTTTCTTAATATTTTGCATGGATATTCAAGGCCTATAAACTCTCTTTATCATTCATTAGCCTCCATATATAATTGTTTAGGTAGAGAGCTTTATTCATTGCTCTATCTTTTATTATGCCATTTGCCCCTTCATTATTGGATTTAGTTATCCTCCTTCAACTATAGTTTGAAACCCAATTTTTTCACTTTTCCTTTTTGCCATAATTTATTATTTTTTTATTTTTCTCAAATTCTAACTCTTTTCATGATCCTCAGTTCCTCACTAAAAGCAGGCATGTTTGCACTTGATACTTGGGAATGGCTTAAATCACCTCTTGAATTAATGTTGTTCTCCTTACTTGTGACAATGTTTTGGCTTTCCATACTTTCATCCTCTTTTTAACTTTTTCATAACTTCTTTATATTTTTTATTTATTTTTTTCCGTTCATAATTTAAAAACTTTATGAGTCTTGGCAAATGTCAAAGATATCATGGTTTTCTTAACCGGACCGGAAAAATCGGGAACTGGTTAGGTGACCAGTTCTGTTTTTCTCAAAATCGAATTTTTATCAAAAAATGTTAATTTAATCAGTAAATCATTGACTCGGGCAGTCAAACCGTTCAAACCATTCAACGGTTTTGACTGTTTTTATTTTTTATTTTTTTTTGTTTTTTTATTTTTTTGTTAGAACGGGTCCGAATCGATTTTAAAAACCTTATATTGTTCATGTTATCTAGAAACATTGTTCACTTCTACAATGAGATTCTAATGCTATTGTCATATCAACATTGACAGAATGACAGCCACCCATCTTATTTTTCTATTTTTTTATCTTTTTTTTTGTATTAAAACTGAAATAAACAATAGTGTCGTAATCATTTTTCTAAACTGATTAAGTTCTCCAGCCAAGGAGGAGGCAATTGATCAAAATTGAGAAGGCCTAGCATGTCCAACTAGCCTAGGTATGAAAACTAAATGTGTATGATTAATTCTTTAATAACTATCAATTAATAAAAACTATTGGACCATTTAAGTTACCTTAATCCCCAAAATACACTAGTATTTTTTATAAAAATTGCCATAAATCCATTTAGATCTAAGTGCTTTGTGTGAGCACTATGAATCCATAAAACCTTTTCCCTCGTTTATTCGACTATTGGCATTCTTAAAAGATCTTCTCTTTGTTCTTCACCAATTGAGAGGTCCAATATCTACAAATCGTTAATTGCTTCCAATCCAATTGCTTTGAGATATTTTTTGAAGACAATGTGCAATATCATTTATTGATGTCAACTCTCTATCATCATCATTGATGTAGGGTGATTTGGCCCGACCTCGTAGCACGGGGATACGTGAACATGACCTGACATAAGCGACAACTCAGCGCGATAGCCTGGCCACAACTCGGCGTAACAAGCTTGCCGAGGCCTGACCAAACGACTCGGTGGGTGTGACAACTCGCTGAGAAGCAAGGCCCAGCTCGCCCCAAGCCAGAGGGTGGAGCGCCCCGAGCTCCCTCCGTGCAAAGGGACCCGAGCTCCCCTTGAGACCCGAGCTCTCCCTCCCAAAGAAGGGAGCACCCTAGCTTTTGGCTAAGTGTCCCGAGGGAGAAACACCTTGGGACAGCACCGTCGAGACTCCTATTCGTACTTGCTTAAGGCTCGCCTCCAGTGCGAGCACCTTGGCGTACCTCGGCACCTCGGTGCAAGGCAACCCAGCCCCAGGCGGTTCGGTGCAATGTAGCTCGACAACCTGTAGGGAAGATCCGCCTGACATCCTTACCTGCCGGATCTGGTGGCAGCGCCCACATCTCTTGCTAGGCAGTGCCGTGCCTGCCGTCTCTGAAAAGCACAGCTCGCCTGACGAGTCCGTACCCTGCAACAGTAGCCTGCACCTGCCACCTCAGCCCTGGCAGTAACGGCTAGGGCAGTGGTGGTTACGCCTGATGTGACTGAGCTCCGGTATAAGAGGACCCCGACCCTCACAAAGCAAAGGTATTGAAGCTAGCACTTTCAGCACTCTTAACTCTCTGTATTTTCCTTGAGTTTTCCTCAGAGTTCTAACTTAGCCATCGGAGTGTTCCCGCCGGGAGAGCTCCCCAGAAACCCTTCACGTTCCTCTTCATCTCAGGTGTCGTCTGTCACAGCTAGGAGCCAAGTTTCATCCATCTAGGAGTGCCCAGATCGTGCTGCATCATTTGGCGTCATCTGTGGGATTCGCTTCAAAAGGCCTTCCTCTAAGTTCTGTGCAACTTCTCTCCAAAGAACTCATCAGCATCATCGACACCTATGGCTTCCTCCAGCAACGCCGGACGCCGAAACACCCCTGAGAAACAACCCCAGTTACCCACCGTCTGCATCGGACAGTTCACCGTTCCCCTCTCTATGGACGGGATCCCCAGTCTGAATGTGCCTCAGACAGTGGCACCCGTAACTGTTCCACTGCCCTCTACAGTCGGAACAACCTTCGCTAAACCCACCATCCTCCCTCTGGTGGCCAACCAAGGTCAACTTGAGGATCTGATGCAGTGCATGCGAGCCAAGTAGGCTCAGATGCAACAGTTCTAGCAACTTCAGTTCCACCAGCAGCAAGTGTTGCACCAGGTTTCCCAATACTAGTATCATCAACAATTTCCTTCACTCCCTCCTCGGCATCCAGCTGCGCAGCCAACCAAGCCTCACCGTCGAAGCTAACGTCCTTCCCGCCGATGAGAGACCTCGGTATCGTCTCATGGAAGGAAGGAAATACCCCCTACCCCCGCCTCGCGGCTTGTAGTTAGGTCGGGGGCTTCCCAGCCGGTTAGGCCCGTATCACCTCAGCGTTCACAATTCGAACCTCCGCTTGCCGAAAACCGGTTCGAGGTGCTGGCTGACGACCTGGGACAAGGCCCCTCTGTTCGCAGCTACCAACAGTCGTCCGAGCCTTT